TCTGGGCAGCTTAGAGAGACCAGGAAGCTGTGTGGCTTGGTAGGAGCCCTGGCCGGGCTCCTGTGGGTAAACCTTAAAGTATTTATTTTATTTTTTATTTTTTTTTATTGATTTCAGAGAGGAAGGGAAAGGGAGAGAGAGAGAGAGAGAGAGAGAGACATCAATGATGAGAGAGACTCATGGACCACTGAGCGATGCTGACCGGCTGGGCGACCTTAAAATATTTCTTAATGCAAAACCTCCAATTTCATACCCTCCCCGCATCACTCTAATTCCTTCTTTTCTCCCCTCCCTCCTTCCCTTCCTTTTCTTTCTTTCTTTCTTTCTTTCTTTCTTTCTTTCTTTCTTTCTTTCTTTCTTTCTTTCTTTCTTTCTTTCTTTCTTTCTTTCTCTCATAGTTTTCCGGGATCCAGTGGGAAAAAAACTGTGGCTGGCAGCCTCGCCTCTTGGTCTGATCATGGTCACTCCTGCCATCTGCCCTCTCCTCCCCACCCCACACCCTGGGGACTCGATCCTCCAAGTCCCTGGGCCTTCCATTTTTCTAGTCCCTTCCCCAAACTCAGAGTTCTGAAAAGACCATTCTCGCCTGGCCGGTGTGGCTCAGTGGTTAAGCATCAATCTATGAACCAAGAGGTCACGTGGTTCAATTCCCAGTCAGGGCACATGCCCGGGTTTCAGGCTCAATCCTCAGTGTGGGGTGTGCAGGAGGCAGCCGATCCATGATGGTTCTCCCTCATCATCGATGTTTCTCTCTCTCTCTCTCTCTCTCCCTCCCTTCCTCTCTGAAATCAATAAAAAAATATATATATTTTAAAAGCCACGGAGAAAGTCAGCCCCGCGCCGGCCTCGTGTCTGCCCGGTGGACGCCCCCCTGCCCGGCCAGCAGAGCCTCTGAGGACGCGGCTGGCTGGCGAGAGCAGGGGTTCGCACTCATTGTTGGGGGACGGGAAGAAAGGGCCGGCCCCCGAGGAGGGTCAAGGGCGGGCTGTTTTGTTCTCTAGCAGCAAAACAGAGAGGCCACAGGAAACCACCCAGGCAACGCGCTCTGCGGAGGGCAAGTGAAGGCTGAGCCTGAAAACAAAAGTGGAGCGCGTCTCCTTGGAGCTGTTTATGTTACATAAGTCAAATAAACACAGGCAGGCGAGGACAGCCTCAGCCTCTGCGGGGGCCAGCGCCGCGGGGCCCGGGGCCCAGGGCCCAGGGCGGGCAGAGGGCGTCTCCTCCAGCCGCCGGTCAGAAGCGCTTCTCCCCAGCAACCACGGTTATAATACCAGGGGACACACCAGGGCACCTGAGCAGGGCAATCTGAATGCACGCAATAGAGGGGCGTCATTGCAGGACTTGTCAGTGCCTTTCTTCTCTGCAGCTAAGGAAATACATCCTCATCAGAGCGACGAGAAGAAGCAAAACTGACACCAGAAAGGCTCTTCTCTTTTTCTTTAAAATACATTGATTTTAGAGAGGGAGAGAGAGAGAGAGAAACATCAATTATGAGAATCATGGACCGGCTGCCTCCTGCACGCCCCAAACTTTAAGGTTTACCCACAGAAGCCCGGCCAGGGCTCCTACCATGTGCCCTGATCGGGAACCGAACCATGACCTACTGGTTCATAGGTTGATGCTCAACCACTGAGCCACACCGGCCAGGCCAAAAAGGCTATTTTAATGTGCAAATAAGGCACCTGAGCTTCTGGGAGGATCAGCAGGAGCCCAGAGCTCTCGGGCAAGGGGGAGGGTCGGGGTGGGGGGCACCGGGCAGGCAGCCAACTAGCCAACTTCTGAGACTTCAGCCCCGTCGGGCAGTGCCACGGAGTCTGTGTGAAGAATGGAAATAGAAAAGCTACCAACTCCGTCCGTGAGCTCAGGCCCGGCAGCCCCAGGGCGGCCCGAAATCACAGTCTTGAAATTGAGAGCAGGCGAGAACCTTCTGCCGCGGGCAGTCTCCTGTGGTCTGCCAGGGACGGGAATAGAAATAGCAACTGAGAACACAGCCTCGCACGGGCTGAGGGCATCCATGGCCAACAGCTGCCCATTAGTAGTAGGCACTGGGGCCGTGTGAGGGGATCTCCTCTCTCTGAGGGTTGTGTTTAAAAATATATCTTGCTTCTGCTCAGGGGTTCGATTCCCGGTCAGGGCACATGCCCGGGTTGCGGGCTCCATCCCCAGTGAGGGGTGTGCTGGAGGCAGCCGGTCCATGATTCTCTCTCTCTCTCATCAGTGATGTTTCTCTCTCTCTCTCTCCCCTCTCCCTTCCTCTCTGAAATCAATAAAGATATATTTAAAATAAATAAAGTGCTTGGCAAGCGTCAAAGTCAAGATCGGGTGCTGAGCGGTGCCCCCCTCACCCACCCTAGCAGATGCATGACCTGTGCGCCCGCGGCCAAGTTCCGCTGACGGACCGCGGTGTGGGCTGTGCCGCTGGCCGGCTCCGCGGGGAGCTGCCTCGGCAGGAACCCCTGACACCAGGCAGGTCCCAACGCAGGTTCCGGGGAGAAAACAGCAGGTGGTGAGCTGGAAGGCGGGAGGCTGCCAGGATCCACCCCTGGGCGCCCAGCGCCTGGCACCGCTTCCCCGAGGAGAGGCCGTGTGACCAGGTCACGGCAGGGTCAAGTGCGAGTCTGCCTCAGGGAACCCCTGGGGACTCCTTGTGGAAAACAACGGGCCTGGCAGCGCGACAGCTGCTTAAGGAAAGGGGTCCCTGGGGGAGCTCCCTGGAAGCCCTTCGCTTGCAGGAGGCGGTTGCCGGGGACACAGGAGGCAGACAGCAGGCGGGGCGGGAGGCCCAGGTGAATGCCAGGTCGTCAGTGGTCCCCAGCTCCGTGGAGACATGAAATCGAACAGTGAGGATGAGGGTGACGAGGGTGACAATGGTCAGGGTTGGTGGGGCTTGAGGAACCGTCCTGTGAGCTGTTAGCCACATGGGCATCTCCACTTGTTCAGTTTGGGGGCTTTTGTTGTTGTTAAGCCGCACCTGAGACTACTTTTCCATTGATTTTTAGAGAGCGTGGAAGGGGGGAGGAGGAGGAGGAGGAGGAGGAGGAGGAGGAAGAGGGGAGAGAGAGAGAGAGAGAGAGAGAGATAGAGATAGAGAGAGAGAGAGAGAGAGAGAGAGAGAGAGAGAGAGAGAGACATCGGTTGGTTGCCTCCCACCAGTGCCTTGACAGGGGCCGGGAATCGAACCTGCACCCAAGGTATGTGCCCTTGATTGGACTCGAACCCAGGACCCTTTGGTGCAAGGGCCAGTGCTCTATCCATTGAGCTAAACTGGCCAGAGCTTTTTAAAAACAATATATTTTTATTGATTTCAGAGAGGAAGGGAAAGGGGGAGAGAGAGAAACATCAGTGATGAGAGAGAATCATGGATGGGCTGCCTCCTGCACGCCCCACACTGGGGATGGAGCTCACAGCCCAGAGATGTGCCCTGACCGGGAATGGAACCGTGACCTCCTGGTTCATAGGTTGATGCTCAACCACTGAGCCACACCGACCAGGCAGTTTGAGGGTCTTTTGAACAAAACACAACGCAGGTTTTTTGGCTGCCAGACATTCGCAGCTACGTTCACCTCTGGTTTATGATGTGGGCGGATGGGTGGGGGGACATAGAGCCCAGGAAGACTCGACCCCGTGAGGAGAAAGGTGAGACCACCATGTGGCACCCTCCAGGGGCGCGGGAGCCCCTGCCTCTGGGCCGGGGGCATTCCTTCTCCCCACGGCCCTGGACTTGACTCCTGGCTCAGCCACTGCCCGGGAGTGTGAGCTGGGGCACGTCCAGGCATCTCTGTGAGGCTCAGTGGCCTGGCCCCTAAACTGGAGTCAATGACCTGCCTGTCAGAACGGTTCGGGGCCGTCAAAGGAAGCAGGTGACCCGGGCAGCCCGATAAATGTTTGCTGAAATGACAAAATCGCAGTCTGTATACAGCAAGGCCTCTTATCTCCAAGGGCGTTGAACCTCACAGTCACCTGGTGGGGAAAGAGGGGGCGGGGATTCAGGAGAGCCTCCTGTCTCACCCCTGGGGAGGGGGGCAGGGCCCGGAGCCCCATGTCCCTGCAGGCTGGTGACAGAGGCTGACAGCACCGGCGTGTCCCCAGGACCCGGAGTGTGGGCTGCAGGGCTGTTGGGAGCTCAGCAGTGGGCAGATGTGCCTGCATCTCTCCGGGGCCCGCACTGCTCCCCACTGCCAAGGGGCACCCCTTCTCCCAGGCCCCCAGGGTAACCCCCCAGGGAACCCAGGGCCCAGAAAATGCATGAACAGGAGGAACAAAGGCACCAGGGAGGAGCCGGCTCATTCTACTCTGTTTCTTTCTTTTTAAAAAAATTTATTTATTACTTTTTTGTTATTGTTGTTGTGAATCCTCACCCAGGGATATTTTTCCATTGATATTTACAGAGTGGAAGGGAGGGGGAGAGACGGAGAGAGAGAAACATCAGTGTGAGAGAGACACATTGATTACTTGCCTACCGCACACACACACCCCCCACCCCCCACTGGGGCCTGCAACCCAGGTTCGTGCCCTTGACCAGAATCGAACCCATGACCCTTCCGTTCATGGCCGAGGCTCTATCCACTGAGCCAAACCGGTTAGGAGGTTCTAGTCCAGCCGTTCTCAACCTGTGGGTCGAGACCCCTTTGGCGGTCGAACGGGGTCGCCTAAGACCATCCTGCATATCAGATATTTCCATGACGATTCATCACAGTAGCAGCATGACAGTGATGGAGTAGCAATGAAAATAATGTTATGGTTGGGTCACCACATGAGGAACTGTATGTAAAGGGCCAGAAGGTTGAGAACCACGGCTCTAGTCTTTCCTGATGAACCTCCAGTTGCCACCACGGGCGACTCCCGGGCCTGCAGCTAACCTGCCTGTGCGGGGCCGCCTCCATGAGCTCATTGGAAAGCCGTGGTTTCCGCGGTCACCTCTGCTCTCCCTTCCCTTTCTTCCCAACTCCCAAAGGCGGCTCCTGGGCGCTGAGATCTGGGGTCACGCGCCACCTGGGCCCGAACAAGTCTGCTCGGCTGCCACCCTCCCGAGAGGGCAGAGCGGGTGGCGCTGGCCCCAGGCCGCCCCGTGTGGGCTTCTCGGCGGCACTGCCTTTGGCAGGCGTCTCATCCTCGCTCTTTATCGCCAAGCCCGTGGGGCGAGTGACAGCGGCATCGCAGCCTGAATGGGCTTGTCTGACGGGCCAGCTTTCATCCCGGGCGCTGCTGCCCGCCTGTGAGGGAGGAACTCGGCGCGGAGGGCGGTCATTTCACACCGATTCCTCGCTGTCCTGTGCTTTGGGTTCTAACGCGGCGCGTTTCGATCGCCCACCTCGCTGCGTGCCGTGAGGGAGAAGGCGGGCCTCGCGTGTGGTTAATATGTTTGTAAGAGACACCCGCGGAGGCCCCGCTCGGTTCTGAAGCAACAGCGCTCGGAGCTGACCAGCAGGCCAGGAACTCTGCCAGGTACAAACAAGCACATTCAGAGAGTCCATTACTGCCCGGCTGATTGGCTCAGTGGTTGGGCACCGACCTGTGAACCAGGAGGTTTCGGTTCGATTCCCGGTCAGGGCACTGCCCGGGGTTGCAGGCTCGAGCCCCAGTGAGGGGCGTGCAGGAGGCAGGCGATCCATGATTCTCTCTCATCATGGATGTTTCTATCTCTCTCTCTCCCTCTCCCTTCCTCTCTCTGAAATCAATAAAAACATATTAAAAGAATAAAATAAAATCTGCACATTACTTTCACATTCAGAATATGAGCAAGTTACTTTGATATTAGAAATGCACTAAAAATACAAGAAAAAAATTCATGTCAAAACATAAATGAAAGCCTGGATGGTGTGGCTCAGTGGTTGAACATCAGCCTAGGAACCAGGAGGTCACGGTTCAATTCCCGGTCAGGGCACATGCCCGGATTGCAGGCTCCATCCCAGTATGGGGTGTGCAGGAGGCAGCCGATCCATGACTCTCTCTCATCATTGATGTTTCTCTCTCTCTCTCTTTCCTCTCTTCCTCTCAGAAATTAATAAAAATATATTTTAAATAATAATAATGATGATGATGTTCATTTTTACAGGAACTAAGATAAGGATGATTACATCTTGTGCCCCAGGCCCTCTAAACGGATCCCTGCAGGAGGGACAAGAATTAATTCAATTCCAGGCCACAGCCCCGCCCAATGCTCCACAGGGTGGCATAACGGGACCAAGTGCCTGACGGGGAGACAGAGGGAAACCAGACAGATGCGTTCCCACCCCAGGTATTCACGCCCACTCCGATCGCGAGGGGGGAACTCTATGGGCCAGGGGCTGAGCCAGTGCGGCGGCTCTCACGGTTTATTACATGCAATCTGCACGGGTGCTGTTTCCACACTTAATGGCGATCCCATCCCGAGTCCCTGTCTATTTCCCATCTTCACGGGCAGCACAGCCACCCCGAGCTGGCGCTGGGCCGTAAATGCCGGGCCCCCTAAAGCCACTGCCGCCTTCTATAGGATGTCCCAAAATTCAAGCAAGATTTGAATTTTGCCTGAGCATTAACAACAACAACAACAAATAAAAGCCTAATTTTACGTGGTTTATTGAATCAGATTCTAATATCTGTCGCCCTTGGATTTCAATCCCTTCCATTTGATCAGCATGACCGAGTACCAATGACGGCCCAGGAGCAGGGACAGGGAAGACCAATGAAGACCACGGCTTTGCGGATGTGCCAGCAAAGCCGTGGAGGCCATTGACCCGATGTGCTATTCCATCCATAACCCTATACTGTATACTTTATGGATCAATAAAAAATTTACAATTTTTGATTATAAACCTGTGTTTTCTATCAAAATTACTTCTTGCGTAAATTTTGGGACACCCTATAGATGCGCCTTTTCGTGTGTGCGTGTGTGCGTGTGTGTGTGTGTGTGTGTGTGTGTGTGTGTGTGTGTGTCTGACTCCCGCGCACGCGTTGGCAGCCTTCCAGGCTCAGGGAGAGGAGAAAGCCATCCTGAGCATCCCGACAGCCTCGTTTTGATCTGCGATACCGAGCAGCTCATTTCCACTTCACAGGCTCTGCTGCGAGAGACAAATCCCAGACGCTGAAGGGGCGGGAGGAGCTGGAGGGCCCGGGAGGCAGGGTGGCTGGCGGAGGGGGGAGGGCGCCGGAGGGAGGATGAAAGCGGAGCAGGGCCGCGTGTATGAAGCTGTTTTTCTTTTGGTGAAAAGGAGCCTTTATCAGTGATTTCATAGATCACGGGAGAGATGGCTTCCTGCCAGTTTCCAAGAATGCAAACAAGCCCACTGACATCATTCGCTAAAAATAGCCGGGCGTCTGCCGTAGGTGAAGCCATAACCTCGGGAGGGGACGTGGTTCTCTCCGGTTACATGTTTATGATGATCGGGCTGGCGGGCTCCTGTCGTCGGTAGGATCAGGGCCGGGTCCAAGGAGGAATGGGGCGCGAAGATCCCGCAAACAACTTCGGGGGGTGATGGAGGCAGCCCCGAGCCCGCTGCCTTCCCGGATGCCCAGCGGAGCCTGGCTTTGTGGGGGGAAGATTGGGGTGGTGCTTTGGTTGTTGTGGATTTTCAAAGCCCTGGTGTGGCCTGGCTGGTGTGGCTCAGTGGTTGAGCGTCGACCTAGGAACCAGGAGGTCACGGTTCGATTCCCGGTCAAGGGCACATGCCCGGGTTGCGGGCTTGATCCCCAGTGTGGGGTGTGCAGGAGGCAGCCGACCCATGATTCTCTCTCATCATCGATGTTTCTATCTCTCTCTCTCCCTCCCTTCCTCTCGGAAATCAATAAAAATATATTAAAAATAAAAATAAAAAGCCTGGCATGTGTGTGTGTGTGTGTGTGTTTGCACGCACTGTATTTCCATGTCTCCAAACCAGTAAGGAGACTTCCCTGGCCAGTTTGGCTCAGTGGATAGAGTGTCTGCCTGTGGACTGAAGGGTCCCAGGTTCGATTCTGGTCAAGGGCACGTACCTCGATTGGAGGCTCCTCCCCAGCCTGGGCCCAGGTTGGGGCATGTGCAGGAGGCAACCAATGGATGTGTTTCTCTCACATCGAAGTTTCTGTCTTTCCCTCTCTCTTCCACTCTCTCTAAAAATCAATGGAAAAATATCCTTGGGTGAGGATTAGCAATAACAACAACAGAAAAACACCAGTAAGGAGAGCTGGCTGAAGACAACCAACTCCAGGCTCAGGGATGGTCGTGAGGCGGGGGCAGAGGCGAGTGGCCACAGGGGAGAGTCGGGGTGAGGTCTGAGGGGGAGCTGGCTGAGTATCTCTGTTCTGTAGCCCGGCAGGTGAGGATGGATGCTCATCTAATGGGTCTGGACCCCACCCCCCCACACCCCTCCTCCTCCTGGGCCTCGAAGCTTCGATTCCAACCCAGAGCCGATGTGTAATGAGACCTGAGACGCCTGCCTCCTCCTCTCCCCGCTAACCCTCCTCCCGGCTCAGCCCCGGGCTCACCCTGAGGAGGGGGCGCCGGCCTCCAGGGCCTGGAGGTACGGGCGGGCGGAAGGGGCGGCTGGAGGGAGAAGAGGGGAGAAGAAAATCAGTTCGGGGAGACAAGGAGCCTGAGAATCGAAACGGCTCCCGGAAGCTGTTGCATCCCTACTCTCATCACCATGTCTCTTCACAGTCAGGGAGGCAGGAGCGGCGGTTACCATGGCAACGGGTGCCCCGGCAGCACCGGGGGAAGGAGAGGGCCGGGTAGAAGGAGGAAAGAGAAAAAGGCACGGAACACACGTTTGAAGCATCCAAGGGGGAAGCCACGGCGCGTCTCACTTCCCACGGGAGAGAGGACGTTACGGAGCCCAGAGGACGCCCGCTGCCACCACCCTGGGAGGGGCAGGGGCGCCCGGACGCTGTGACCCCACGGGAGACTTCGTGCTCCATGGGGCGTGGCCGTGGCGGCCTTGGGGAACGACCTTGGGGATCAGGCCCTTGCTTATTTCATCACCACCTGTTCTCCTTCCTGAGAGGAAGGACAAAGCACTTTGCTCCAGGAAGCAGCCGCGATGCTGTTTAAGGCAGAAGCAGAACATCAAGAACCTGGACCGCGTGGCTCAGGGGTTGAGCGTCGACCGAGGAACCAGGAGGTTTCGGTTCGATTCCCGGTCAGGGCACGTGCCCGGGTTTCGGGCTCCATCCCCAGTGTGGGGCGTGCAAGAGGCAGCCGGTCCATGATTCTCTCTCATCATGGATGTTTCTCTCTTCCTCTCCCTTCTTCTCTGAAATCAATAAAAATATATTTAAAAATAAATAAAAAGGGCCAGTGTGTCCTTGTGAGGCTGGGCCTGTTTGGGGAGGACAGGCTGCTGCCCCAGGGCCATGGCTCACCGGGCCCCGCCGGCCGCGAGTGGGTGGGTCGGGAGAACACGGAGGAGAGCGTGTTTCTGGTGACGGAACCGTTGCCGGGGCCTCCAGCCGGGAGCCTGCACCAGCCTGCGGCCGGGAGGGAGGAGGCCCGACCCGCATTCCCGCGGCCCAAGCCCTGGATTCCAGAGAACTGCGCTCCTAGATGGAGGAAAGACACACTCCGGCCCTCTCTCCTGCCCGGGGACCGAAACACCGCATTGCTCCTCTGGACTCTGGTTTCCCCGCTGCCTTTCCTATTGTTTCCAGATGTTGTCAGAGGAGGAGCAGGCCTTTCAGACAGACATCTTCGTCTTCCGGCTGATTCACCTCCTGAGGTCTCATCGGAGCTATTTTTCTCAAAAAATATTTTTTTATTGGTTTCAGAGAGGAAATGAGAGGGAGAGAGAGAGAGAGAAGCATCAATGATGAGAGAGAATCATCCATCGACTGCCTCCTGCACGTCCCCCACTGGGGATCGAGCCTGCAACCCAGGCATGTGCCCTTGACCGGGAGTCGGACCAGGGACCCTGGTCATCTGCAGGCCGACGCTCTATCCACTGAGCCAAACTGGCCAGGGCTAAGTCAACTCCCCTTTAGAAAAAAGCATCACTTGTAGTAAACCATACGGAGGGCTGTGCGCTTCGCTTCACGATAAATAAAGTGACGTGAGGCCACGCTGATGGGGGCGGTGTCACAGGGAAGTGCGCCGGCACTGGGCGCGGCTGGAATCACACGTCTTATTAGGGAGCCCTTTACACTTGAAATATGCAAAACGCACACGAAAGTTTAGCCGCGGAGGTAACATTAAATATTTAATGCCACAATTAAGTCTTATTAACGGCCGGCTCTTTCTATTATCTTGCAGATTAAACGGTCACAGCGACACGATCGTCTCTTTCGTCTCTATCACTGAAGCCGTGTGCTTTTCGTCAGGATGTGGGAGGTCTTTTCGTCAACATTGGATGACGACGGGTAGTTCACATCAACAAGACTTGGTACTTCAGATGTAACGACTCTACGGTGATAAGGATACGTGACTGTTTGATACCGGGCTCTCTCGGCAACAGTCACGTCGCCGGGTTTGTCGCCGAGGAGGGGAGACGCGGGTCCGAGGAGGGACGAATGGCTAGCGGCACGTTCCGCCGTGCGTCTTGACTTATTTATTTAATCTACGATCCTTCATGGAGCCACACTGTGGGAGGAACCTGAATTGCAAACCGACAATGAAACCTGATCAGTAATATTTTCGGTTTAATCCAATTTTGTGGGAATGACGGCTTGCCTGTCTCTTCAGAGGTCCTATTTGCTTCCCATTTTTGCCTCGTTTGTGTCCTCGTTTGGTCTATCAGTTTATTTTTATTTCTTTATAGATTTTTATTGATTTCGGAGAGGAAGGGAGAGGGAGAAAGATAGAAACATCAATGATGAGAGAGAATCATGGATCCGCTGCCTCCTGCATGCCCCACACTGGGGATGGAGCCCACAACCCGGGCCTGTGCCCTGACTGGGAATCGAACCATGACCTCCTGGTTCATAGGTCGACGCTCAACCACTGAGCCACACCGGCCCAGCGGGTCTACCAGAGCTTAAACAGCTCGGCCCCTTCCCTCTCCGGGACATGAAGGCTTACCCTGATGGTCTCCAAGATTTTTCCTTCTGTGCCAAAGGATCCGGGTTTTCCATCCTGGACCAAGTGAAACAAATGCATGTAGACCTCCTGGCTTTGGGTTAGGACAGTGACTGCAGGGAGCAGGCGGGAGGGGGTCGATCCATGCGAAGCGTGCAATGCACCTGGCGACCCTCTGCCCTGCACCATGTGCGTGCGGCATCCGCATCCCCCGGCACCACACCTCCAGGCGGGAGCTGCGTCCCGTCCACTCCCACTCCTGGCTCGCACACCGCAGACTGCTGACCTCCAACAGAGCTTTTTCTGAAACCTTTGAGCAACTTCCCTGAGGAGACGCTGGGGAGGATGACGCGATGTGGTCTGGTCGAGGTCAGGCCTGCAATGGCACCGCAAAGCACGTCTGGTCCAGACCCTGCTCAGCTTCCGAGCGGAGAGCGGGCACCAGAGCACAGACGGCGTCGTGCGGGTCAGAACAGGGCGCCCCTTGCCTTCCTGCCAAAGCTCTCTCTCTTCTGCAGGGGCGTCTGCACTTTCAAAGCCACAGCCTGTGCCCAAGAGCCCTGACCACAGAAGTGCGCAGCCGAAGGCAGGAGAGGGTCGAGCAATTAGCGACCTGCAGGTAGGCCAGAGGGACCCGTGTTCATGTCATGCAACTGCAATTTATCCAGAACCTATCAGCCCTGCCCGGCTGGCCGGCGGGGCTCAGTGGTGGAGCGTCGACATAGGAACCAGGAGGTCATGGTTCGATTCGGGTTGTGGGCTCGATCCCCAGTGTGGGGCGTG